CCATATTTTCCTCAACCAATCAGCTTTGTTCATCAGGACCAGTAGTGCTCTTTTTCGCACATTGCAAGCTTCAAAGACTCGCATCAATGCCCAAGCAGAGAGCACCACTAGCACTCTGAAAGAGGCATCAGTTCATGCGACAACTAAAACAAGTGTAGAACAAAAAATTCTTGGATATGAAACTATTATTGGTATAGAGACCCATGTGCAACTATCAACCCTTACCAAAGCATTCTGCAGCTGCCCTTACCTCTATGGATCACAACCAAACACTACTGTTTGTCCTGTCTGCATGGGACATCCTGGTACTCTACCAGTTTTGAACTCCAAGGTCATTGAATTTGCCGTGAAGCTAGGCCTTGCACTCAACTGCAGATTGTCCATGACCTCCAAGTTTGACAGAAAGCAATACTTTTACCCAGATCTCCCTAAAGGATACCAAATATCACAATTTGACATCCCGATAGCAATTAAAGGGTTCATTGATTTGGATCTTCCAGTTGAGTTTGGTGGTGGTCATAGAAGGTTTGGGATAACTAGAGTTCATATGGAAGAAGATGCAGGAAAACTAATTCACTCAGAAACGGGGAGTTATTCCCAGGTCAGTTTCTCTCGTTATACTTGGAATTATTTGTAGTTTGCTAACATGATATTTGCATGGTGATATCAAATGCTTTGTGGGGCTTTTTTGGCAGGTGGATCTGAATAGGGCAGGGGTGCCTTTACTAGAGATTGTCTCTGAGCCCGATATGAGGAGTGGACTTGAGGCTGCAGAATATGCTGCAGAGATACAGAGGCTGGTTAGGTATCTTGGAATAAGCAATGGCAATATGCAGGAAGGTTCACTTCGTTGTGATGTAAATATTTCTGTTCGTCCAGTAGGACAATCAAATTTTGGAACAAAGGTACTATTTGCTTATTTCATAATCCACATGGTCTACTGTTAGTCTTTCATATAAATAAAACACCGAGTCCTTGTCATCTAGTGTTGACCAGGGTTTTTCTTCTCTTTCATCGGTAGATAAAAGTAGTTGTAACCTTGCAACAGGTCAACATTTGACCATGTAGAAGCATTCTTTTTGCCAATTTAACTCCTGTTAGTTTAATACAGGTTACCTACTCTTTCACTAGCATTAATCCAGCCTTAACACTCTTTTAAGTCTCACACTGACCGAGTAATTCAAGGGCAGTGGTACAGTAACATGGTTTTTGACTTTGTAGGAATATATATAATATATGCAATTTTACATGGGTATATAGGATATTTCATGAAGTTACAGCCTTACAGGGTTACACTAGAAAATTTTTCTAAACAAACTTAATATACTGTAATAAAGAAAGATAAACAGAGAAACATAACAATTTATATGTGCTTACATGCTAACATATGTATAGGTTACTAAAATGGCTTGTGATATTTAATTTTGAACCCTCATTATTCCATAAAATCCTACGAAAAGTGATTTTGAAACCCTCTAAAATATATGTACTGTTAGCAAAATGTTTTATCTAACCTATATCATGCCATAGGAAGACCACTGGACGCTAGTTGGGCTTATAATAAGATCGCAAATACTTCCTAAAATAACTACTAAAATGACAAAATTATTCCAAAAATTACAGGAAAAATGCTATAAGTATCACTAAGAGTCGTTACAATGTAAATCTGCCCTCTTCTTTCTAATTTTATTAGGAGTGCAATTTGAAGGTCTTTCCCATCCTGACTTGTACCAGGGTTGGGCTTCACTTTCCTATCTTTGTCTACTTCTCCTAATCTTTGTGAACGCCCTTTTTTTTAATTATTAGGCTCTATTGGGCTGTAACATGCTGAACCAACCAAAAATGTTGGCCCCTTCAATGATCAAGAAGGCTGATCCATGGCCAATTAGGCCCAGGTTATGCATAAACTTGATTTAAACTGGTCCTCGATAGGGTTCCAGGGTCAATTAACAGTGTATCAGTTTATTATTTCATTTATTAAAGATTTATTATTTGACCGTTGTTAGTGCTTCTATTTGGTTATAACTGTTGCTTGATATAGCACAAATGATCTTAAATTTTTATCACAGAGATTGATGGTTAGGACACTTTCGCTTGTTGCATTAACAGGTTGAAATAAAGAACATGAATTCATTTTCTGCAATGAATAGGGCCATAGATTATGAGATCTCAAGACAGGTTCATCTTCATAGCCGAGGTCAAA